CTTTAGGAATATTTGCAATCTTACTATTATTATGCATGATATGGGAGCATTAAGGTGTTTCTATCATGTTTTTTCATATAGCCATACTAAACYTTTTTTATTGGCTTTTTAGCAAACTTTCCTAAGTTGGATTGACTTGAAATTCACACTAGCCATTAGTCTTATCAAGGTTTATCAAGGCTGATTTTAATCCAAAAGCAGATATACCTCTGCCTATGGATTAAAGCAAATTCAGGCTTTTCTTACTGACAGCAAAGGACAGTTATACTATGTTTCAATTCTCAATGGCTGAWATTGGAATAATTAACAGTACACATCAGAGGGACAGGCTAAATTGATTATTTTTCAGGATGCATAATAATTACAGAAAAATAAACTGTTCCATAGACAATGTATAATGTGATTGACTGTTTTTCATTTGAAGAAGGAAAAAAAGGTTAAAACTTGCGATAAACAATGGTTGAATTCATACCGGAAATCAGTTGGACTTGCAAATGAATTCTAAGCAATCCCAGTGAGACCGTGAAAAGCAGATATGGCACTATAAAAAATTACAAAAGCTGTGGGCAAAGAAAATAAGAAAAAAACAAACTTTTCTGTGTTTGATTTGGAGTAAATTGCAAAATAATTTTTCACTCACTTTGGCATARAGCTGCTAAATGAAATTGCTTTGTTTAACATTGAAACCGGTCTGGTATGAATTTCAAATCAATCCAACTTCGGAAATTTTGTTAAATGTCCAACACCATGTGTGGAAATGTGTGGGTGTGTAGAAAAATGGGGTTTTCTTGGCGAGCTACCTTCCAACTTCAAATCACAACTATGCAAACAGTTCATTTGGGGTGGGGTGGGGGTGGGGCTGCTGGGGAAGGGGAAATCTTTTAGAGGCCTTAAGCAAAAAGTGACATTTTTGAATGAGCATGCTTATGAAACTGTTATTAGAAGTGTACATGTAAGTGCATTTCCTTGATTACCCATTTTCTCCATTTTTTACCTATGTTTCTAAATCTTGGAAGATGAGTTCTTTAATTTGCTAAAGGTTCAGAAAATTTGAAGAAAATCTGTGACAGCATTTTCGAGWAATTTGATGTTGAAGTTTAGAAGCATTAAAAATAATTATAAAGTTTATTTTAACTATTGAAACATTTTATAAGGCTTTCAATCTCGAGCCTGAAATGGGCACAGCCAAAAAATGGAGAWAATGGGTGATCAAAGAAAATGCATCAACATTTAATTTTACCGTTGGTATTTGTGAATATTTAAACACTGATACGAGGCTAACCCTGTGCAAATGAGTCTGTAATCAAGGAACACAGCGGTAATTTGGAATTCAAAAGGGGTCTATTGTTGCTGCTTCCTGTCATGGCTGCCATAGCATGATGGTGCAAAGGTTATACAACTCAGGCTGCTGCAG